ACTAGGCACTGTTTTGGACACTGGAGGTAAAGCAGTGACCAAACTAGACAAAGATGCCTGTCCTCTGAGAGCTTTCAGGAAGAATCAGACAATACAAACAAAATGTGAAGTAAGTGTGATTTTCCCTTTTTTTTTTAAATGACATGGAAATTGAGATGCCCAAGGTCATCTGACTAATGAGAGGCAGAGTTGAAGTTCAAATGTAAGTCTCCAAGGTTTATGTGTTTCTCTGCCTCATGGATGAGGGCTCTGGGTTGGTTCAGGTGGAGTGAAAGCTTGTGGACAAGGTGTGTGGGTCTATGGTGAGGATGTGGGGGTGGGTCCCGGAGGGCTGGCTGAGATCCCCCAATCTGGTGCTTCCCACTTCATTCCAAGGACCCCCCCCCACCGCTTCCTCATGACTGACAGTCAAATGCATCTTACCTACTAGATGCTGGCGGGCTCCAAATGATAGGCATCTCATGGGTGGTGAGTGAACCTGAACTTCTGCCAGAGCCGTTGAGCTCAGTCACATCTCCCAAGGGATGGAGTCCAGTTGTGGAGGCTGCCTCATGAGGAGGCAAGGACTTCTGGGGGGCATACAGAGGAACCAGGGCTTTGGGTAGGGGTGGAGGCCTGGAACGGGATGGGGCAGGGAGCTGGGGGTGCCAGCCCAGAGAAGAGCCAGCGTGGGGTCATGGGCACACCCTCCGTGGCTGCCCTGGGCTGCGGATAGGTGTGCCGTGTGCCCCAATGGCCAAGCTGGGGATACAGGGGTCCTGTGAGGAGGCTCTCCTCCAGGGACAGGGGTTGCCTAGGAGGGAGTCACCTCTCCATCTCTGGAGGTGGGGGAGGAGGCAACTGATGTTGGGGTGTGAAGGAGGTGCAGAGGGGACCCTTGTGGGGGGACAGAGCCTTTCAGAGGCCCCAGCTTCAGAGTGGGGAGAAGATTCTGGCTTCCCTTCAGAAGAGCTCCCAGACCAGATTGCAGGGGGTGGAGGTGGGGCTGGCCCTCAAGGCCTAAGTGCCCCCCGCCCAGCTCTGCAAGCCTTGGGGAGGGCCTCTCTAGCCCTGCTCCCCAACACTCAGCTGTGTCCTCAGACCCAGGGTTTGGGTGTCTTCCTTGCAGCCAGTGAAGGTGGGGACACCATTTGGGGTAAGTAGGAGATCAAACGGATAACCACGACCAGAGGACATCACAGAGTTGTCCTTGGGACCCTGCTCCTGGCAGAACCAATGAGAGCCAAGTCAGCACCTTTGAAACCCCACGCTGGGACACTGGGCCTCAGAGGGGCCCTGAGGATGGAGCAGCAGTGTCTGCCTCTCATTTTTTTTTTCAAAGTTTGTTTTTTCTTTTAATGAGGGTCATTTTTTTCCAGTCTTTACTGAATTTGTTACAATATTGCTTCTGTTTTATGTTTTGGTTTTTTTTTGGCTGCAAGGCATGTGGGATCTTAGCTCCCCAACCAGGGATCAAACTCATACCCGCTGCATTGGAAGGCACAGTCTTAACCACTGGACCACCAGGGAAGTTCCTGCCCCTCATTCTTCCCTTTCCAAAACCAGCAGCCAGCCATAAGCTGCTGAGGGAATAAGATACCCCACAGTGCTGAGCTTTGTCCTGGTGCCAGAGTGCAGCATGATGGATCCACTAGGGGCTGTGGGGCTCCAGGTGGGTGTAAGAAAAGAGCAGATTAGCCAAGATGGCAGTGGTTAGGCTCTCTCGCCCCATGGCCTCTTGCTTTTGCCCCACGTTTTGTAAATAATGATTATGTAACTGCACATGCACTATGTTCTATATAAGCACCACCTGAACTGCCTTTGTGGTCCAGTCCAGCTGCATTGAGTTGAGTTACATAGTCATTGTTGCTGCTGGGTCTGCCATTAGAGGGTAAAGCACATCTGCTTTGCCATGGTGAATAAAGAATGTCTGCAGTTCCTACAACTCCTTGCATCTTCTTCCAGCTTCTTCCTAGCTCATGCCATGCCTACCCTGGGTTCAGTGAACAGTGAGATACAATGAGACAACTGGCACAGTCAGAAGGATTGAACATCGAGACAGTGGGGACTCCCTGTGAGCCCATGGGGGTGGGTGGGCTGGAATGGAGAGCTGAAATGTCACTGGCAATGAAGAGCTGAAACTCACCCACAATGGCAGCAACCTTTTGTCACTGCTGATCAGTCCTCACCATCAGGAACACATCTGGAGACAACAAGTCTTGGCTTATTACTTGCTGCAGCAAAGACTTCCCATCAGGGGATTCTGTGGGGTGTCTCTAAGGGGAAGAGTTAAGGAAGGTGTGTTTATAAGGTTGTGGGGGCTGAAGTGAGTCAAAGAATTGTCTTTGGCAGAGACTGGTCAGAATTTTCAAAACAGGAAGTTGCTGGGACAGTCAGAGATCCTATGTTAAGAACACAGGAGAATTACTATTAAATCAGTTTGTCTGTGGTTTTCTCTTGGAACATGTGGGTCTAAATCAGAAGTCCCCAACCTCCAAGATCTACTGATGATCTGAGGTGGAGCCAAAGTAATAATAATAAAATAAAGAGTGCAATAAATTTAGGGCACTTGAATCATCCCCAAACCATCCTCCACTCCTGGTCGATGGAAAATTGTCTTCCATGAAACCAGTCCCTGGTGGCAAAAAGGTTGGGGACTGCTGCTTTAAATACATGGGTGTTTACAAGTGTGAGTTTAATCTGAGATGGACATCACAGCTTGGTCAGGAACGGTTACCTGTTTTGTAAGTCAGGATATGTTTTGTAAACCGTGTTCCCAGTTTCAGTTCTCAGTCCTATCTCCATCTTGCACACCCCAGCAACCTGGTTGCCAGCAAGAGGGTCATTTTCTTCTCTTCACTCCACTGACGAGGAGGGTCTGGACCTCAAGCCGCCTTTCTGCTGCTGCCGCCAACTCTGGCCACCAGGGGGCAGCAGGGCAGCATCCATGAACTCAAGACCCAGCGTGGACTAAGCACAGCCAGGCAAGGGAGCTGAGCCAGCGCTCAGACTGAAGGGACAGGTCTGAAGCTCTGCACGGCTCCACGTGCTTTCCATTCCTTCCAGGGGTACCAGGGGCGTGGAGAAAAAGGCAGAGGGAAATGGAGAGTGAGGAAGGAGGGAAACTGAAGGAAACGGGATCCATAGAGCTGGCAGCTGGGTCCTCTGCCCGCTTCCATCTTTTCCTGCCATCCCCAAGCCGGTCTACTTCCATGTTTTTAGCCTGGTTTTAGTCTGACCTCCTGGCAGCCCCTCCTGGTCCTTCTCTTTCTCCCACAGGTGGGTCATCCACCTGTGGCCTTTCTACTCCAGGTATCTACGTGGTACCTGCCGGGACTGCCCTTCCACCTCAGCCTTCTCCCTCAACACAGATGTGAACACACACACACACTAGCACAGGCTGTGTGATGACTTTTAATTTCTTCCCCCACACTTTGCAATTGATTTGGTCACAAAGGCTGGTCTAACAGCTTAATCTCACAATGAAGTGGGACTTTTCATGTGGCTGCTGATTTGGAATTTGGCTCCAGGACATAAATCTGAGGACACAGAGGGGTAGAATAGCCACCTACTAAAGAAACCTGAAAACAACTGGGGTTAGACACCTTTTCCGTTTACTGCCCCAGCTCCCTACCACCTCCTCTCTTGACTCTACAAGCTCAACACCTGACATCTCTGCAGTTGTGAGTCCACAGCTGAGTGGGAGTGGGGAGGGGGCTGGACAAGGGCTTTCCCACTCCCAGGCCAGGCGAGAGATGCTCTAGGAAAATCACTGAGGAAGTCTGGGGTGTATCAGTTCAGACTCTCAGCAGGAAAGATGGGGCACAAACTGGTCACTCTGGGATAGTTGAATGAAGAGACTCTTATAAAAGTGTGGTCTGCAGTGCAAGTTCAATGCATGAGGCAGGGTACCCAGGGCCAGTGCTCTGTGACAACCTAGAGGGATGGGGTGGGGAGGGAGGTGGAAGGGAGTTCAGGATGGGGGGGACACATGTATACCTATGTATACTGATCATGTTGATGTATGGCAAAAGCCATCACAATATTGTAAAGTAATTATCCTTCAATAAATAAATATTTTTTAAAAGGAGTCTGGTAAAAAAAAAAATGTGTGGTCTGGTGTTTGTGGGGACTCTATGCAGAGCAGCACTGATGTCAGGTTGTCAGGGCCAGAGAAGCAAGGACAGCAAGAGAGGGCTGGGCAGTCCTGGAGATGATTCACTGGCCCCTTTCCTCCTCACCTTGCCCCATTTCAAGGGAGAAGGGCACCCCAAGGATGGGGAGCAGGGTCCTGCCAGCAATGGGGGAGAGGAGCAGGGAGCAGTAAATTCAGTAGGCGACTGGAACTTTAAACTGGACTGAACTTTAGTTGTTACCCAAAAGTGACTCAAAGTTTTGGAGTTTGCCAAATACGCAGTTCATGGCTGGAAAGGGAAGTTAGACAGTACTGAGTGGACAGCATCGATGGGAGAAAAATAAAAGTTGCATGTTTGTGCCTTACTGCACGCTCACTGTTCAGTAAACTTGGAAAGGAGGTACGATCAGTTCCATCTTACAGATGAAGAAACTGGGTTTGCGATCACAGAGCTGATGGTGGCTAAACTGGGCCAGAACCCTGCTCTTCCTGCCTCAGCTTCCCTGCATCCCCCGACCTCTTTCTTTCCCTCAAGAGTGAATGGGGAGCTCCCAGGTCAAAGCCAAGATACACCCCCTCCCACCCACACCACTCAGGCTTCTCCCCAGGATGCCTGCCCCAGGCCTTCCAAGGTGAGCGGTCCTCCCAGGGGGTACAGACCAGCACTAATGAAGGCAGCTGAGGCAGCGGAAGAAGCCAGAGAGCCCTGGTCTCAAGTTTAGTCTCCGCACTGACCACTGCTTGGCCTCAGGCAAGGCACAGCCCTCTCTGGGTCTCCAGTCCCTCCATGCAGCCAAATAATCCCTGGGGGTCCCTGTCAAGAGGAAAAACTGATTATGATTGGTCATGTCTCCCAGGGGACTCACATGCTGTTTCGCAGTGGTGTTTAGGAGTAACAACCCCAGGAAGTGATGTCAAGTTTGAAAGGTGAGGAGCAGGGCAGGGAGGCCCAGAGGGTAGATGCATGGGAGATATTTTTGGGCAGGCAGATGCCCTGGTCACTGCTGGACAATGGTGTAGGGCAGCCATTGTGCTGGGAGTGAAAAATCCTTTTCTGACTTAAAGGTCTAAAAATAGTCACATGAGAGCCCCTGGGAGTTGGCGTGGTCTGGTCCATTGTTCCTGGCTGGGACAGGACTGGGACTGGACACCTGGCTGACTTGGAGCCAAGACAGGGGCAAGCCCTCATAAGGGGCTTGGGCCACTGAGGGGTGGATGGGCAGAGCCAAGGCCGTTATATATGGGGAAATTGGAAACTGAGATCCAAAGAGGAAAAGGGGATTCACCATGTCACATGGCACATCAGAGCAGAGGAGGATGAGTTTGGTTTCTGGGGCTCATTTCCCTCACCCTCACACCCTCCACCTCAAGCACATACCCATGGGGAAGGCAAATGCATCCCTCACCTGTCACCCCAGTCACTCCTGGCCAAGCTCCAGCCTCACCCCACAGGAGGCAGAAGCGTCTGACATTCAGCTGGAGCTACTCCAAGGCACCGTGTGGTACCAGTGGAGTCACTTCATCTTTCTGCTCACTTGATGCCAGGGGAGACCCACTGCCCCACTCTAGTTCTCAGAACTGAGGGCTCATGGGTCCTAGCAGTGCCTGGGTGAGCAGATGTTAGCTGTGTCTTTGATGAAAAATCGAGGCTGCTGATGCCCTAAGTTAGAGACAACTGGTGTGTGGGAGGCAAGGTCTCCAGCCTCTACAGAGTGACCAGAGAGGGCAGGCACATGGACTCAAGTCACACAGCAAAAACTGCCCATCTACTGCCTGCTCTGGCCCAGCTCCAGGTTGGTTCTCCAGCCCTGGGTCTCTGACTCTTGGACAAACCTAGGAGTGGCTGCAGCACCCTGGTGGGTACCACCAGTCAGGAAGAAACGGCCAAGCCTTGCTGCCATGGGTGGGTGGGAGCCCTCTGGAAGACCAAGGCCATCCTGTTCGTCCCCTTTCCACTGTCACTTCTCCCTAAAGCCCTTCCACAGCCCATCACCCGGACAAGGTTCTGTAAACACACACCAGCTCATGAGCCGGAGTGCCACCCAGGGCCAGGCAGGGCAGAGGGTGGTCCCACACCTCACCCCAGGATGGCCTGCTCCCTTCCCCCACATCCTGAGGAAGCCTCGCCCACAGGGGACACTCTATTGTTCACTGGCCGGACACATAGTCCTTTCCTTCAAATCACTTATCCCCGTGTGGCTATATATTAAATTATGTCAACTCCACAAGGGCAGGGCCAGCTGGTTCACCTCCACATCCCCGTGGCACAGTGCCCGAAGTGTAAATGCTTATGTTCCAGCCTCTATTCTCACTGCCTCATGTGTATTGATTCAGGCCTCTATTGAGTCAGACCTCCCAATGCCCTACATGGGAGGTAGTGTCTCCTTCTAGAAATGAGAAAACAGAGGGGCTACAAGATTCAGTGATTTGCCCAAGATGCCACAGCCGAAGAAAAGTGGAGACACTCAAATGCAGGTGGTCTGGGCAGAGAATTAGTGCTCTTAACCCCATCCTCACTGGAGTGCCTCTCTCATCCTGAATCACATGAAGGTTGAAGGGTTGCTTACAAACTCTCCTGCCCTGCAGGGACTGCAAGTGGCAGGGGAAGCTGGAAAGGGAACTACTCAGGGCATCGGATCGATGAACTCAGTCTTGACTCACCTGTTTACTGCCTGTATAACCTGGAGCAAGTCCTCATCTCTCAGAGCCTGTTCCCTCATTTGCTAAATGGGAATAACACTGTCTATCTCACATGGTGGTGGTGAAGAAATATTACAACGGATGTGAGAGGGCCCTGCCTGGTGCCTGGGACATAGGTCGATATCTCAGTTCCCTTCTTTAGGCGCCTGATTCTGACATCTGCCCAAATCTTCCATGACAAGGGTGATGGTAGAGGGGTAGCTTTGGTGGCCTGACCTGCCAAGACTGGAGTAGCTGTGTCTGGAGGGCATGTTACCCAGTGCCTTTCCTAGCCTTTGGAGGGTCAGTGTCCCTCCTGGGCCCCAGGACAGCTGCCACCCAGGGCAAAGACCTCTATGTGCCAGGGCCCCTGCCCCTGCTGCATGGAGCTCCCCGAGCTGAGCTGCTGCTGGCCAGTCAGCAGGCGTTTCCTCCTCCCAGCTGTTCCCACACCGCCCCAGGTGCCCCAAGTCCCTGGCTTTAGCTCCCTAGCTCCATCAGAGGTGGGAAGAGCTGGGGTGGTGGGGGTGATGGCAGGATTCCCACAGAGGCACTGACCTGCACTGCCGGGAGCGGAGCAGCTGGGGCGGCCAAAGCCCCTGGCGCACATCCAGGCGCCACGCTGACCTGCCGGGTGACCTTGGGCAAGGCCCCGCCCCTCTCTGGCCTTGAGTCTACAGCTGGGCTGACAGTCCCTGGGGTCCGTCAGGGGCTGCGCCCTGTCACAGCGGCCTTCTGGAGTCAACAGCCCCAGGAAGTGATGTCAGGCTGAGGAGGTGGGGAAAGGGCAGGGAGGCCCACAGAGTAAGAGGAGATATTTTGAGAGCAGACAGGTCCTTCCACGTCATTGCTGGACAATGGTCTGGGGCCGAGAGTGGAAAATCCTGCTCTTACTTAGGCTGAAAATAGTATAAGGCAACAGGATCGGGAACCCACCCTCAAGGAGGGTGGCCTGCCCACTGAGCAGCAAGGCCCAAGGTCCACAACAAGGGGCCAGGCAGTCTGACCAGGGCCCAGAGATGGGGTCCTGGGCCTGTCCATGGTTCCCTTAGGGTCTCCATTCCCCACCCCCACCAGTGTCAGCCACAGGATTGGATGGTGAGTAAACTCCTCCTGTCCCCTAGGTCCTGTGTCCTTAGACATCTTCAGGCATTGGTTTCAACGAAGTCTTCCTGAGGCTAAGCCATAGTGTGGTCTCCATGTGCTGCAGAGGCTAAGTCCTCAGTTCTCGGGGTCTCAGGACAGCTGCTGGAGGGGTAAGTGAGTAGGACATGAAAGGAGTGGGGACCAGGGGAACTTGGGCCCATGGGACACAGTCCCATCCTCAACTGCAGATGCACATTCAAGGGCCCCCAAAGTCATGACATATAACTCCCTGCCTCTGGGTCTGAGCAGGGCTGAGGGAGTCAGAGCTCAGTATCAACACTCCTGGTCAGTAGAGCATCTCACCTGGGTAGAGACTCCTTATAAACTGAGATGGGGTTCAGCCTGAGCAGCAGCTGATAGGAAAGAAATAGGCTCAGGCCTGCAAGAAAGGTTCAAGGACAGACTCTAAGAGATCATCACAAAGATAAACATAGGGATCCCGGCTATATTAACAGAAGTATAGAACCTAGAATGCGGGAGGTGAGCAGTCCACACTACTTTGGGCAAGTCACCCATGTTACACAATGCAGAGTAATGGTCTGGGTCATGGCTCATGACAGGTCCCTGTCACACGGGGGAGCCCTGGAGCTAGACTCTAAATAGGGCAACCCTGAGGGTGCCGTTTAGACGAGGCAGAATGGGAAGGGTGGAGAAGTCGTTGGAGGTAGGTGGAGGTGGGATGGGGAAAGCAGGCAGAGTGGGCCCATCAGGGAAGGGCTTTCCCAGAGGGAGAGAGAGATAATCCTTATTCTCGAAATTAAAAGTGAGGTCAGTTTTGCCCTATTCCTGCCCAAAGGCTAGAGCTAGCTGGCACCTGCACTTTCATGTTCTCCTCTGATGAAGTGTTCTTCTTGGAAGTCCTGCCACTCCAAGAGGCTTTCCCTGACGCACAGTCCACAGCCCCAACCATTCATGTTATCCAGTTGTGTGCTAGAGAAACTTGTACCTGCTCGCAAGGGCCAAATGCTAAGTTTTCAGGCATTTTGCAAGGAGGCTGACATCCCACTGGCAGTCTGAAGCTGGCCCTGGTAGGATTATTTGTACCACAGCTATTGGCAGTGTTTACAAATCAAGGATTCCCCCCACCATCTCCGGACAGTTAGTTAAATGGTTTAACATTTATCAGCACTTAATGGTTATTGCCATTAAATCCTATACTGGGGGGACCCTAAGGACTGGGACCCTCTGCAGCCAGCAAAATCAGTTTATGTCATCATAAACAGTTTATGATGGGTTTATGATATCAGTTTCCAGACATACATCCCTTGGACTGAGGGTACTCCTCAGAGCCAAGCCCACCATGGCACTCAGACCACTCCGACTCATTGTGAGAACCTCTGGCTCAGCCCTTACCCCTTACCAGGGTCCTCCAACTTGCGACCCCGCCCCTCCCAGGCAGCTCAGGCCCAGGCTTGGCTGTGTGACCTTGGGAAGTCGCTTTCCTCTCTGGGCCCGTTTCTCCATTTGACTTGATTGTGCTGGAGCCCAGCCTGGGGACCCCGGCAGGCACAGTCAGGTATTTATGTGGGAGTCAGGCCAGAGCTGCCATTGTCCCTAAACTCTTTTCTTAAGATCTTACTCCCCTCCCTGCACATACAAACGGTGACTAAGGGCGTGGGGACTGCCACGCTCTCTGGATCACAGAGAACAGACCGAGTCCCACTCAAATGACAGAGTGCTGGGGTCACAGCTCCCTTGACCATCCTGCCTGAGTCACTGATGGTCCATATCTGGGGAGACTGTCCCCTTTGAACAAGTCTACAGCCCCATCTCATGTAAACTTGAACAGAGGTTCAGCGCCTACAGCCAGATGTCCTTAGTGTCAGCGCCACTACCAGCCAGTGAGGACTCTGTGCCCCTGGAGTTCTCACGGCTGGCCGAGTCTTCTGTCCTGACAGCATCAGTTCCGTAGGACCTGTGCAGGCCCAGCCGGTGGCGAGCCTGGGTGGGAGGGGTGGGGTCTGTGGGTGGCTTGGCATCCCGGGCAAAGCGCACGAGCCTCTGCCCAGCCAGGAAGTAGAGCACAGGGTCAAGGCAACTGTTGGCGCTGGCCAGCGGCCGGGTGACCTTGTAAGCCAGGTTGATGGCGTCGAGGGTGTGGCAGCTGAGGTCCAGGGAGCGAAAGGAGTAGTAGAGGGTGCGGGTGACGTGGAAAGGCAGGAAGCAGAGGACGAAGACAGTCAGCACAATGGCGATGGTGCGCACGGACTTGCGCTTGGCCCGCGGCAGGCCGCCGGTGGTCCCGTAGGCCGGCTTTAGCAGCCGCCGAGCCATGAGTACGTAACAGACCAGGATGACGGCGAAGGGCACGGCGAAGAGCAGGCTCAGCATGACGGAGCTGTAGGCCACAAAGTGGCCGAAGAGCTCGGGTGCCGAGGTGTCATGGCAGGTGATGCGGCTGCCACGGGTGCTGGTGGTGACGAAGTACAGCACAGGGGCCTGGCAGGACAGCACCAGCACCCACACGGCGAACGCCACCCGGCGGGCATAGCGGGCCCGGCCCCAGCGCAGCGAGTGCAGCGGCCGCAGGACGCCCAGGCACCGGTGCACACTGATGCACGTGAGGAACAGGATACTGCAGTAGAGGTTGGTGTAAAAGAGGAAGCGCACCAGCTTGCAGAGCACGGTGCTGAAGGGCCAGTTGTCGCCCTGGGCGTAGTAGTAGACCAGCAGGGGCAGGGAGGCGGCGTACAGCGCATCCGACACGGCCAGGTGGAACATGTACGTGGTGGAGGCGTTCCAGGTCTTGAGGCGGCACAGGAAGATGTAGAGCGCCGCGGCGTTGAGACACAGCCCGAGCACGCACACCACACCATAGGACACGGGCAGCAGCACGTACTTGAAGCTCTCGTTGAAGCGGCACTTGTAGTCCAGCTCATCCCCATCCCAGGTGCCATTGGTAGTGCCATTCCAGATGTCCAGGCCTGTGGCCATGGCCCTGAAGGGAAGCAGGGATGGGGGTGGGGTGGGGTGGGAGTGGAGAGAACAACCATCAGGGTCATGGATGGCTGGGGGACCCAGCAGGGAGACCTGATACACCCGCCTGACCCAGGCCATGAGGGACCCCAAGTGCCCACAGACACCTCCGTCAGGATCTGCCCAACCACATTCAAGGCTTTTATTGCATCTGATCTGCCTCTCTCTGTGGACACAGAGGGCCCAGAACCTTGGAACCCTGGGACCTTAAGAACAAATGAGATCCATGAATGTCAGGATCATATAATTCTAACAATTTAAAATGGGTAGGCAAACTGAGGGACAAATCCAGCCCACCAGTCTGTTTTTGTAAATAAAGCATTATTGGAACATAGCCATGACCATCTGTTTACACAGCACTGAATAGTTGTGGCAAAGACCATATATTCCTCGGAGCCTAAAATACCATGTTGCCTTAAAAAGAATTATTTTTTTTTTTGGTGTTTGAGAACCTCAAGAATAGAGTTCCAGATCTAGGATTGTGACTGGGGCAGCTCATACTTTTCTGGAGGCATTAGGAAGTTCTTTTGTTTGGCTTATCTTTCCACTCTCTGGGAGGTTCCGGCCCTGTGCCTAGTATTTTGGCATTTGAAGGAGCTTTGTAAGGGTTTCCCTCTTTAGTTATTCAGTCACCTCTCAGCAAATATTTTTTAGGGACTCCTATATTCTGGTATTTTCTGCATCTGTAAACAGCAGGTGGCCTCTGAGGCTACCAGATGGGGCAGTGACCTTCCTGAAGATTGCAGGCAAGTCTGGGGTGGAGATGGAAATGGGGGAATGGGGAACTTCTGTGGGGCAAACTTAGCTTCCTCCAGACCTGCCCTGCTTCTCTCCACACATCACCACCACCTTGACCTTCTCCTACCTTGTTACCAGTGAGCATATAATGCAGCTATGGTGCCTGACTGCCCAGACAGAGAGCACCTGGAGATCAGGATGCCACCTTACTCCTCTCCCCATCCCTCCAATGTGACCAAGAAGAGCTCTCTCAGACTATCCCAGTCTGGAGGGCAAAGATGTGCCCAAAGCTCTCAGAAGGCAGGCTGGAAGTCATAGCAGGAGTCCCAGGTGGGCAGGCTTGGAACACAAAGAGTAGGTTTCTAAGAGTGTGAAGATGCAGGGGGAGCTGACATTATTGAAACCCCACTACTGCTATGTGTGCTTTATCAATATTGCTTCATTCTATCCTTACATCATGGTTCTGGGAGCCAGGTTATCATGCCCAGGTTTCTGATAGAAGTTGGGTCACAGATCATTCAAGGTAACTTGCCCAGGTCACAGCCTTCAGGTAGTGGACTCCCTGATTATGGGACTGTGCAAGTGGCTCCCTAGTGAGCGCAGAAGGGCTTGTGCCCTGTGTGTGGGTGTGTCTGGGAGGACAGAGAAGGCAGATGACATGTGAGTCCTCCTCACCCTGAGAATCTGGGGCTGTATAATCCCTCCTATTTTGGAACCCCAGGATCCTGAGAGGTTGGGACTCAGATTCTGCAGGGCCAATGACATCCATTCCCTTAGACGCTGAGATTCTTGCCCAGCCAGTTCTCCCTGAAGGAGCTCAGGGCCCATGAAGTTGAGATCAGGGTGGCTGAGGGACAATTGCCTCCTCAGCTTCCTTCTTCTCCCTTCCTTCCTTCCTAACTCTCCCTCCTCTATCTTCCCTTCCTGCTACTGTCAGCAAAGATGCAACTAGGAGACAGGGAGCCTGCCCTCATGACCTTGCTCCCACAGACACAGATTCCTCCCCAAGGAGCCAGGGGAGATACAGGATGAGAAGGTACATATGGGATCAGGGGCCATTGGCAGGGCCAAACTGCTAGGATCCCTCTTGACTCAGGAACCAGCATTAAAGCATTTCCTGCATCCCACCCAGCTCCTTGCAGCCCAATGTTACCTCTACTGTTGCTGCTGGAGCCCCTGTATCAGTCTCCCTGTCTCCAGCCTCAATCCCCTCCATCCAGAGGGATCTTTGGAAAAGAGAAAGTCACTCCCCTGCTGGAAACCCGCTGTGGCTCCTGTCTGATCTCAGGAGAAAATCCAGCTCCTCAGGCTGGTACCAGCGGATTGTAAAACCCAGCTTCTGTCACCATCCACATCCCCCATGACCTGCTGTTTCCTGAATGCAGCCAGCACGTTTCCCCTCTCGGCTATGCTTCACATTACTCCTTCAGCCTTGAATCCCTGCATGCCCCTCATCTCCATCTATTGAAATGACAACTGTTTATCCTAATCCAGTGATTAGGAAGAAGCTGGCCTCTGGACCCAGGGCTGCCCTTGTCCCCTCACCTGTGAAATGAGGTGATCAACAGAAGCTACGTCACAGGCCTGCTATGAGGGTTAGGGGAGCAATTTGTGTAAAACCTTTGGAGCCGCACTTGGCACATGGTGGGCACACTGTGTGTTACAAGCTTTGAGACTCAGCTCAGCCGTGGCCTTCTCTTGACCTCTTTGGGAAGCCCTCTTAGGCCACAAGCGGAGGAGTGACAAGGTCCTGGAGGTTGTGGAGCAGGTGAGTGTGGGGGGCCAAGGGAGTGACACCAGGCCCATGCTGGGCCAGGCCTGGGGATCTCATGAGGGGAGAGGTCTGAGAACTGTTTGGGAGGGAGTCTGGATGGAGGAGGGGCCAGGACGCCTCAGGCTCAGGGGTTGGGAGGAGAGGGAACTCTGTGTCAGATACAGTAAGTGTGGTGTGCCCCAAAGGGGTGTCATGGCCTGGAGAAGGGTGAAGGCTGGGATCACCAGATCTGAAGTACTGAGAGGTGGGTAGGGGTAGCTAGCTCACAGGAGCTGCAGAAGGAGCATGGAGGCCCAGGTGCAAGACTGAGGATCCATGGAGGGGCCACACTCCCTCTGGGGACACTGGCATGGGGTGTCCAGCTCTGCCACAGAGCCCTAGGTGACATCAGGAATTTCCTGCCCTCCTGAGGGTCAGACCTCTCAGGTGCTGAATCCCCTGGCCTGGTAGCACTATGGTGCCAACACTTTCCTCATGAGCTGCTGTGACCACTGGGCATGCTCAGGGCACCCCCCCCCAACCCCAGCCCCACCTCCACACTGCTGCTCTGCTCCGCCCCCGTGCTGAGGCCTGGCAGGTCTCTCCTCAGAGTGAGGGTGAGGGCCTTCATCTTCCCTTCATGTCAACATCTCATGGCTGGTCACAGAGCTCCTTGCTAACTCACGGAGGAGTCTCTTGACACTGACGGCAGGGGTGGAAACTTCCCTAAGTGGCTCATGAACCAAGGGAGCTGCCCTTTCCACCTGTTTCAAGACATCCTGGCCTCCACCCTCCCAGGGCAGCTAGGGATTCTATCGCCGCATCCCCTGTCCAGACTGACCCTGCCTGCCCTCTCTCTCTACAGGCCAGCCCACCAGCTTGTGAGTACAACTTCCCTCCCCACCCTCTCTGACCGGCTCCTGCTTACAGAGCCAGCCAAGTCCCCAGTCCTCTCTCTCAGCCCGTTCTACTGCCTCTCCTGACCCCTGATACCCTTAGGGCCTCACTCCCAGCTGCCCGGGACCAGCTCCCACCTAACTCTTTTTCAAGAGCCCTGCCCTTCTCTGGACAGATCAGCTACCCCTCTGTGCCCTGTTCTGGCTGGCCCTGACCTCAAGAGCTCTGAGTGTGCTGGGAGCTGGGAGCCATGTGAGTGCCGACAGACTTCCCTGCCTGTGTGTCACGGTCTTTCCACCTGGAAAGCTTTCCCTGACCCACTCACACCATACTTCACCCACCCCTCAAGACTCTTCTCAAATCTCATCTCCAAGGCTCTTTCCCTGCATCACGAACCCCTCAGGGCATTCCTTACATCCTGCAGGGGATTTGTCCCTCCACCCTCTATCCCAACACATTCCAGGAACTCCTATCTGATTCTTTTCTCTGGCCCTGTCCTCCAGCTAGAGGCCTCATCCAAAGCAGGCATGACATGAATGAGAGAATGAGTGAATGAATGAGTGAAGCAAGCACAAGAGGCTATGGGAGCCCAGAGGAGGCTAAGCTTTATGATACTGGTCTCCTTTCAGCGGACAATGACACCAAGGGCCTTTCAGCGGACGATGACACTGAAGGATTTCTCAGCTGCTGACCCTAGGTGGCCAGGGGTCACACCAGCTCTCCAGGGGCCCAGTCCACCTGAGGCCTGCTCCTGCCCCAGGCAGACCGCTGGACTGGCTCTTTTTCAAGAGCCCTGCCCTTCTCTGGACAGATTAGGGAAGTGCCAGAGGGAAGGAAACTGGACCCAGGCATTCTGAAGATGGGTCAGCTGTCTGATCCACGTTCCTCTATCTGACACCTCTCTGGCTCAGGTCATGGGATCAGGAGCTCCTGATTCTGGACTGCCACCCACTTCACTTTGTAGGGACCAAGTCTGGGTTGAGCAGCTTCCCCTGAAGCATCCTCATTTCACTCCTCACCGCATTCCTCAGCAGATACTGCCATAGGAGTTAGGCTACTTGTTTAAGGTCACACTGCCAGGTATTGGAAAAACTGGATTTGATACCCAGGGCTGTCTGGCTCTGAAGCCTGAATTCATCACAGCTTGGGATGAGGTAGCAGGGCATGGATCCCCTTGATTTACCCCCAGGTCAGTGTATACACATGCATGAGCCTGCCTGCCCCGACCTCCCAACTTCCCAGCCAGCGGACCCCACCCTCTCACACCCATACCTGACCAGCCCCTGCTCTCGCTGTCAGGATGCTCAGCTCCAGCTCAGGTTCCTCACTCATGAATGCACAGGCCTGGACCGAGCTGCAGGGAGCTCTGTGGGAAACAGGAAAAACAGGTCCTCCAGCCTGGGGCCTCGCCCAGCTTCCAGCATTTCTCAGGGCAGGCAATGCTGTGGGCTCCAGAGACAGGGAGGTGGAGACAGCTGGGGCTCTGGGTCACAGGAAGTCAGCTAGGACGAGCCTTCCCCTGGGCTGCCTCCTCTGTGCCAGCCCTGGTCTGAAAGAGGCAGAAAGTGACCAGGAGTGCTTGTTCCGGTAGGCAGGAGTGCCCTCTGCCCACTCTTGCCCCTTAGCTGTTCCCTTTTAGCTCACATGTTGTACAGGTGTTCCCAGGCACCCCCTTTCACTGGAGGATGGCTCTGCCAGGGAGGTTCTCCCCCATATCCTACGGAGCTGAGCTGAGCTTCCAGCGGCCCCTCCCTCAGTCCCTGTCTGTGCTTCAGCCCCACAACAGGAAACACTCAATACCCTTGCTTCCCAGTATGCACTCAATGGTACTGTGGCCAACACAGTTTACCTCAAGCTGAGTCTTTATATGGAATACCCTTCCTCCCTCATCCCACCGCTAATCATTCCTCCATAGGTGTGGTGTAAACACATGGGCACACACAGGCACGGCCACACCTAGATACACAGAGATGCAGACACTCATATTCAGATGTGCACACACACAATGCCTCTCTCTCACACACAGAGTGTTTGACAGCCAGAGCCTGGAACAGCCTTTAGAAATCACCTCTGCCAAACTCCCATTTGACAGAGGAGGAAACTAGGGCCCAAGGGCTCACAATCAGCCAGAGACAGAGCCAAGATCAGCACCCAGGTCAAGATTCTGGCCCTGGTTGTTTGTCTTGCCCCTCCCACAGGGCAGGCACAGTGCTTCGGTGAGGGGATGGTGACTGGTGGAGAAATGCTACTGTGTGGGCAGGTCCCAGTGTCCACCAGAACCTCAGACCCATCTCAGAGAAAGAGAACATTCCTTTCCTTTTTATCCCGGGTTCACTTCCCTGAAATGGGGGAGCAGGGTCTGAGACAGCTGAAGCCAGGCCCCCAAGCTGGAAGCCCATGCAAGTGTGGGGAAAGTGGAGAGAGGAGGAGATGGGGAAACCACAGAAATAGGGCAGGGGGAGGGGACACCGGGAAAGGCCTTGGACCACGATTTTCCCAGTGCACCTTGCCCAGGAGTCTCAGGCTGACATGGGCCAGCGGGCCGGTAGTCGGGAGTCTAGTGATAAGGTGAAAGAGTTCTTCACCTTCTCACCTGCTCCACCTAGGGTCTCACCCAGTCTTCTCCTAAGGAGATACTTTCACTGAAAAGACTAAGGTAGAACATCTTGCTTTGTCTGGACAGGTGGGAGATCCTAGTTCTGCTATGGGACTAGCTCCTAGTTCCCAGCTGTGGGACTCAGACAAGCCTCAGGTCCGCAATTGAACTCCCATGGGATCATTCTGGCCTCGTTGGTTATTTATTTATTTTTGGTTGTGTTGGGTCTTCATTGCTGCATGCGGCTTTCTCTAGTTGCAGCGAGTGGGGGCTACTCTTTGTTGCACTGAGCAGGCTTCTCATTGCTGTGACTTCTTTGGTTGCGGAACACGGGCACTCCGGTAGTTGCAGCACACAGGCTCAGTAGTTGTGGCACACAAACCTAGTTACCCCAAAGCACATGGAATCTTTCAGAACCAGGGATCGAACTTGTGTCTCCTGCATCGGGAGGCAGATTCTTAACTACTGGACCACCAGGGAAGTCCCCCTCTCCTGCTCTTTGGCTTGGTTGTGTCTTTTGACTTGACACCCACCAAGAGTCAAACCCAGTTTGGGGGTAAAATGACCACTACCTCCTAGATCCTCTCTTCCAGGAAGCTCCCACAGTTTTTAGTGTGAGGGAAATAGTTCTGATTAGTTCTCCACCAGAGGGAACACGTCTTACTGGCAAGGCCCAAGATCTACTCTTCCTGGTAGTTCCCCACTGTTAAGCAGCCATGATATTACTGTACTCATTTTACAGTTAAAAGCAAACAAACAACAAAAAGACAAACCAACAAGACCCGAAAGGTTAGCCCAGGATCTCACCCAAGGTCATCTGTAAGCCAGGGGCAGAGCAAGCCTAGCATGCAGACTCACTACCTGCCCCCTGGACCTGGCTCTGCCTCTACCTGCCTCTACCCCTCACCCAACCTGGCTCTTCCTCTCCCCCTCACCCTATCTTTCTCTCTGTGGCCCCAGGCTAGTGAGCCCAAAGCCAGGAAGAGTGGCTGGGGCAGTTCCCAAACTGGTTACAGATTTTTCAGGGTAGCTGGACAGCATTCCAGTTTCTCCACTCGGGTGGCTCTGGAATGTATTGCCTGCTTGCCACCCACCTGGCTGGCCCTGACCAGTCCAGCAGGGGAAAGTGACCTGTCATCATGCTGGAAACTCCTGCCTTTGCAGGAGGTGAGGTGCTGTGAAGGGAAACAGAGGCCCTGGACCCAGAACTGCTGAGGGGCAGCGGAGGGCACTAGGCAGTGGGGAGATCCCAGTTCTTCCATTCCCAGCCATGAGACCCGGACAAGCCTCAGCTCCACAATCTAACTCTCAATTTCTTTGCAATCTAAAAACAGTACCTGCCTCGTAAGTCTGTCAAGATAACTAAAGGAGATGATTTAGACTTAGTGAAATAATTAAAAGAGCTATGATTTTAGCAGGTGAAGAAGGTGGGCAGGATGTGGGTATTCCAAGAAGATAATAGGGGCAGGAAACGCATGGTATTATGGGCAGAGGAGCAAGGTGACAGCCAGACTGACCACAGATCAAGGTTCTCACGCTGAAGGCCATCCTCAGAAGGGAGAGCAACCTAGGCACCCCCAGCAAGATTTAGACCCCACCACACCCTTTCACTCACTCACCCTTTACAGAGGCTGCCATATCTGCACCTCTGTCTGTGTGGGGCACTTGGGGACTCTGAGGTGGGTCAGACCCTTCCACGATCTTGAGCTCACAGTCAAGGTTGAGGGTGGAGGAGAAAGGACAGGGGAAGATCCAGAAATAGTCAATGACAACTTAGAGTGATCAGGGCTGAAGGAAACATGAAGGCCCCTAATGGAAAGGGGGTGTGGTCAGGGAAGGCTTCCTGGAGGAGAGGACACATGTTTTGGAACATAGGTAGGAAATTAGGTGGGTGGAGAGAGAAGAGGAGCAAAGAGAGAAAAACTGGGGCGGGTGATCACATAGTGTTTTGGGAAACTGTCAGTTATCCCTATGGCTTGGGGCAGAGGGAGCACGTAGGGAGGGCAAGGCTGGGTTGGAGGACAGGGAGGAGCTTTGGAGTCATCCTCTACCCTCTCCCAAATGTCCTCCCTGGGGCTGAAGGCCCGTAGGCACCCAGCTTTGCCTGGTATGCTTTCTGCATCACAAACACTGGGGCTGGTCTGGGGAAATATCTGAGGGGTACCCTCAGATGTTACCAGCAGGTGCTATTGCAGTGTGATGCCTCTCAGCCTCCTCTGGAGGCCCTCGGTCTCTGGAGCCCCTTATGGAGTCTCTCTCCCTCTTGGGAGTCCTCAGGATCCTGATTGGGGGCCACCCACTGTCGTTGAGCTCAGAACATCTGAGTGTGTGGGTCTCAGAGGTCAGCCAAGCTGGTTCTCCTGCCTTACAGATCAGGGAACTGAGACCACTTCCTTAAGTGGAAGGGCCTTATCCAGGTCTGGTGTTCGAATTATTTTCAGTGTGGGGTTAAGTTCCCCTCAGACAACCTCCAGGGCAAGACTCCAAACCAGCTGGCCCACCTCTGACATGATCCAGCCCAGTACAGAGCTACAGAGGTATGCTGCTGACCTGAAACAGCTCAGAACCACAGGCCGTGGACTCCACCCTGATCCATCACACCCGAAGGCTTCCAGCCACAATTAAGAAGCAAGAACCCTGGGTTCAGGTTCCAACTTGGAACATCCATGCTATGCAGCCTTGGTCAAGTCAGTTCCCCTCTCTGAGTCTCAGGTTCTTCACTGATAAAACAGGGAGAATTACTGACACATAAGAGCTCTCAGGAACCCTCTGCTCAAGAACCAACTATAGCTCTCCATGGAGCAAGACCTTCTTTCTCTATTATACGCCTAACTTCTTCTGGTCATTCACTTCGCCAACACTCACTGGCACCTTCTCTGTGCCCAACCTGTGCTGAGTGATGTGGACAGAAAAAAAAAAGCAGACCCAGCCTGGCCTACTCCTACAACTGACCTCTAGGATGAATATAGAGGTGAGGAAGGCTCCCATAGTCAACCTCTGCACATCAGGGCCCAACAGCTGGGAGAGGTCAGGCCTGAGAACACAAAAGTAGCCTAAGAAGAACATGTGGGTCAAAAGGTGAGCCAGGGATTTCCTTAGTGGTCCAGTGGCTAAGACCCTGTGCTCCCAATGCAGGGGGCCCAGGTTTGATCCCTGGTTAGGGAACTAATCCTTGGCCTTCCCTAGTAGCTCAGATGGTAAAGCATCTGCCGACAATGCAGGAGACCTGCGTTCAATCCCTGGGTTGAGAAGATCCCCTGGAGAAGGAAATGGAAATCCACTCCAGTATTCTTGCCTGGAGAATCCCGTGGACAGAGGAGCCTGGCAGGTCACAGTTCATGCGGTCGTGAAGAGTTGGACGTGACTGAGTGACAAAACATGCACATGAACAGGGAACTAGAGCCAGCATGACACAACTAAAGATCCTGCATGCCTCAACTCAGGTATGGAGCAGCCAAATAAAATTTCAAAAATAAACTTTAAAAATGGTGCACCACACAGACTCACAGAAGGAGTTTGGGAAGAGGAAAGATTTCACCAGGAGCAGTGCCACCTCCTGTCACCCAAATCAGCAAGTTTTCTCCAGCCCTGTGGACAGCCTGAACAGATACTATCTTAGCAGCATCTGGGTAATCAGGCCACAGGCAAGAAATACAGACATATTTTCAGGAAGGAATTCAAACTTCCCTTAGCCTGAAAAGTGGAGGACCTGGCCTCACCCAGATGGGGCTTCTGTCTTGAATGGGGAGGAAAAAGCTAGGGCAGGTGGGTGGGATTCCCTGCCGTCACCTTGGCTTTGTGACCTTGGGCAAGGTGTTCTCTGAGCTTCTACTTCCTCATCTTCAAAATGGGGGTAATAATTTCTCCTTCACAGGGTTAAAATGAAAGTTGCTCAGTCTTGCCCAACTCTTTGCAATCCCATGGACTATACAGTCCATGGAATTCTCCAGGCCAGAATACTGGAATGGGTAGCCTCTCCCTTCTCCAGGGGATCTTTCCAACCCAGGGATCAAACCCAGGTCTCCCACATTGCGGGCAGATTCTTTACTAGCTAAACCACAAGGGAAGCCCAAGAATATAGGATTGGGTAGCCTATCTCTTCTCCAGAGGATCTTCCCGACCCAGAAATTGAACCAAGGTCTTCTGCATTGCAGGCGGATTCTTTACCAACCGAACTATCATGGAACCCAGTATATTTCACAGGGGTGGTGGAAGGTAAATTAGGGGCTTTTATAAAATGTTACTGGTAAGCAGTCTCTGCAGAGAGGGCACAGGGAGAGGAAAGCAGTCAATAGTTTAAATTCCAAAAACCAGCACCATCCCTCACTATTGCATTCATGTTCTAGTATTATCACAATGCATTTAGGTCTGTGAATATCACACGTCTCACCTGAGCATTGCACTTTACACAGGAGAGAAAGCCCAGAGATAAACCCACACACCTATGGTCACCTAATCTATGACAAAGGAGGCAAGAATATACAATGGAGAAAAGACAGTTTCTTCAATAAGTGGTACTATGAAATCTGGACAGCTACATGTAAAAGAATGAAGTTAGAACATTCCCAAACACCATACACACACACAAAATAACTCAAAATGGATTAAAGAATTAAATGTAATGCAGAACACTCTTTGAAATAAATTACAGCAAGATCTTTTTTGACCGACCTCCTAAAGTAATGAAAATGAAAACAAAAATAAACAAATGGAACCTAATTAAACTAAAAAGCTTTTGCACAGCAAAGGAAACCATAAACAAGAAAATATACAGAATGGGAGAAAATATTTGCAAATGAAGGAACTGACAAGGGATCAATCTCCAAAATATACAAGCAGCTCATGTAGCTCAATATTAAAAAACCCAAACAACCCAATCAAAATATGGGTGGAAGAACTAAACAGACATTAGAGAAATGCGAATCAAAACTACAATAAGGTATCACCTCACACCTGTCAGAATAACCATCATTAAAAAAAATCTATAAACAATAAATCCTGAAGAGGGTGTGGGGAAAAGGGAATTCTGTTGCATTGTTGATGGGAATGTAAATTAATACAGCCACTATGGAGAACAGTATAGAGGTTCTTTAAAAAACAAAAAATGGAACTACCATATGACCCAGCATTTCCACTACTGGGCATATACTCAAAGAAAATCAGTTCAAAAAGACACATGCACCCCAATGCTCATTGCAGCACTATATACAAATTGTGGCTAGGACATGGAAGCAACCTAAATGTCCATCAGTAGATGAATGGATGAAGAAGATATGATATTTATATACAATGGAATATTACTCAGCCATAAAAAGGAACAAAATAGTGCCACTTGCATAGACAGACAGACCTGGAGACTGTCATACAGAATAAAGTAAGTCAGAAAGAGAAAAACAAATATTGTCTATTGATGCGGTTCTGACCACGCCCTGCTCACAAACCTTCCATGGCTCCCTATTTGCCTTCAGGATGAAATCCAAGTTCTCAACTTGCACACCCTGAGTCCTGCAGTGCCCAGGACACACTGTTAGGACAATCTGTGCCACCCATGCTGATGGCCTGACTGGTTTCCCCTTCTTTGTAATGATGTGGAGCTCCACTGTAGACAGGCTTTCCCTGGGGAAGCTGGGGACAGCGGACAGGGCTGAGGGGCTGCTGCTGTTCTCCCAGTTCAGCCCACTGCTGTGCAGGATCCTGGCAACACAAAAATGAGTGAGATCCAGTTCCTGCCCTCCAGGGGTTCGGAGACCTTGGGAATGAGAAGCAGGAGACAGAGACCTTAACAGTTCAAGGCAGAACTCGGGCTCTAGGACTGCAAGGGCCCAGAAGAGGCTCCAATCCAACCCGGCTAAATAAGGACGGCTTACCAGAGGAGGGGCCATCTGAGATGGGTAGTTCTCCAACTGAGGAAGATGAGTAGGAGGGCATTTCAGGCAGTGAGCATAGACTACGGAATGGTCCAGAGGCAAGAAAGTGACTAGTATTCGCAGCAGATTACATGCATTTACGAGGATGGAAAGTCAGGCAGGAGAGGTGGCTGGAGAGGGTGGCAAGGACCAGCTCTCAGAGGCCTTGAGTCCCAGGCCAAGGGACTCAGATGTGATTCAGTGGAAGTTCTCTGAAAGTTTAGCCCAAGGAGCAAAATGACTGGGATTTGAGTTTCAGGAAGTTATCCCCCAGGATCTGATCTTCCTAACCTCAAAGAGTGAGCCTGCCCAAGAGGACACTGGTGTTGAGCATGACCCACACGACAGCTCCTGGATAGTCCACATCACTGTTATTCCCCTTTTACAGATGAGGCTCAGAGAAGGGACATGCCTTGCTCAGGGTCACACGGTGTACAAGGCATGATGGAGGGAAGGTCTCTGGGTTTCCAGAGAGCTTGTAGGGGGCCCTATCTGCTCTTTCCCAACCATCTCCACCAACAGACAGCTGAGACTTTATCTGGGCCCCACCCTGGCCCTCAAAAGCTCCCATTATTCCAGCCAGATCCAAAACAAAGTGGGCACTTCAGCTGTGAGCCCAGGGAAACTGAGGATGCGTACTGGAAGAACAGCTGCCATCAGCCCCAGAGACCCCAGACTGCCATTTCTGGTCCGCAGCAGGGCCTGGCCCTTGGGTCTGGCTCCTGGGGGACCCTAAGCCTGACACTGCCCTCCCTCCTTAGGGAGGTGAGAGAGGGCACTGCCTTTCTCCAGGCTGACCCTTCCTACAGCAGCCCGCCAGATTAAAAGTCCCCAGACAGAGGCTTAACTGTCCTTCCAGGCCACTGCTCCGGGCGCCGCCCCCCCACCCCCGCCCCGTCCCGCCTCAGCCTTGCCGATGCCCAGGCGAGGCTGCCACCCAGGGTGCCCCTGGAGAGAGGGGGCTCGGGACCTCCAGGGTTGGCCTGTCTCTGGCTTAGGTCCCGCCGCGGGGGCGCCCATTCCACAGCACAAACACAAACAAGTTCCACAGGTTCAGCCACCCGACTCCGCAGGGGCGCACGCTCTCACCCAGGGACACACACACACTTTCCCCAATACGCGCACTCACCCGGGGTATCAGTCCACATTCCTCGCGATCGAACTCCGGTGGAGCCCGAGCTCGACCACGGACCCGCCGGAGCTCTCACAGGGGTTTGGAACCGTGCCTCCTCGGTCAGCCGCGCCCGCGCGCCGGTCTGCCTGCCCGGCGCCGGCCGAGTTGCCACCCCGCGCGCACCCGGGCCAGCCCGCCCGCCGCCCTCTCTCCGCCTGCGGGACCTGCAGGCGGCCCACCCTCACCTCGCAGGGCTCTGGTCCTCACGCTGTGCCCCGACCGGGCTCCTAAGTGCTCGCGCCACCGCGGGGACACACGTGCCCGAGAGCCTCGCCCGCCCCGCCCAGCTCCCCACCCCTCCGGGTCAGGCCGGGGGCGGGCCGGACTCCCGGACAGACCCAGGCACTGCCGCCGCCACCTCCTGCCGGGGACAGACACTCCGCTACCCGCTCGGGAACACTGCAGGGCCATAGGGCACTACCCGGGAAGGGACGGGCGGCGACTGCCCTACCGCCTGGAGACCGAGGCTCCCTGGCCTTCCTCACTAGGGTGATGAAAGGCTTTCAGAAACTTTGCCAAAGTTTTGCAAAGTTCAGTGTCTCTGTGACCGCTGTCACTGCCCACCGCGAGGGCTTCCAGAGAACCTGTGCAGGGACCTTGCTCAGAGCACTAGCCTCCCATTGCCCATGGGGAGGAAATGTGGGTGCTCAGGGTCCTGACCCTCCAGTTCTGGCAAGGAGAGTGAAGGGGGCCTCTTGTGCTCTGTCTGTGCTTAATCTCAGCCAGAAAGAGTCAATAGAAATTCCTTAAGAATAGGGTTTTTTGGGTCTGTCATCTTGAGCTACTTCGCTTGAGCAGCCTCTTCAGACTACTCCGGCCACATTACTCTCTTCTCTGCCCTCAACCCCATTCGGATGGCTCCTGTAGCCAGGGCCCCTAGGCTGTCCCTTTCCTGAACTGTGAGCTCTAGGAGACCAAGGACCAGTCTGTCTGCCTTCTTTCTCCTGGTCCCAGAGGCCCCAGGAGTTGCTCAATACTTGTTGGAATACTTGAATGAATGAGTGAAAATGACCAGCACCCTCTTCTCATTCTGGTCTAGGCTTCGAGAGTGCAGGTTCGGACTCAGCTTCAGCACTGACTCTGGGAGACTAAGACCTTGATCCAAGTCCAGCCCTTTCGGGGCCTCCTTTTCTGTGAAATAGAGGTGATCACAGTCACCCGTCCACCAGTCAGTGTTGTTCTGTGTGGGGCTCTGGACAGTCAGTATCTGGACAAGTGCACAGAAGGTCTGTTTTTGCGGCTGGGGAGCTTGCCCAGGGCCCTGGGACCTCGGGTCCTGCTAGGCCCCATATCAGCTGACTGGGCCTGGCTGCGGTCTTGCCAGGAGCAGGAACAGGGTGGACACACAGCTCTCTGTGACTGGGCTGCCTCAGCAGTGCCCTAGGGACCTTCACCCAGGAGACACAAAGGCTCCTTGTCCAGCCTCCTCCATCTATTGTCCGAGTGGATCCATGCAGCTTCTAAGGGGCTAGGAATCCCTGGGGCCCCTCCTTGAGGAGTCCAGGCCTTGGGGTCTCATTGTGGGGAAAGCCCCCTGGACACTGGAGACCTCAGCCAAACCTCTTCTCTCCTCTCCCATAGATGCCCACTGTAAATGCTATTTTGGCCCAGAGAAAAATTCCTTTGGTATCAGTATGAGGACCCAGGGCTCTGCCTCAGATTCCACCTTACTGGAGGGTGGCCAGCCCGGGGCTCTGCTTCTGCTCTGGTTCAACTTGCTCACTTACAGCAGAAAAACCTGCATCCCTGAGACCCGCTGCATCCCTGAGACCCGCAATGTCTGAGCTACCACAACAGGTAACTTGGGCCTGAGGCACAGATGAAAGGGATTTGCCCTCGAACCCCCAACCTGGAGCTCAGGTCCCCTTCTTGCCTCACCTCCTTTGAAGCTTCTCTGAGCCTATTTCCTCTTCTGCAAAGTGGCAGTAATGATTCCTTTCTCAGTGGCCCTTCTAAGGTTCTTGTTTCAGGGTTTTGCCCATCATCCCCAGTCGCCTAGGTTTGAAGGGTTAGGATGTCCTTCTGTTGAAGGGCTGGAAGTCAAGGTCTCCTGATATCTTCCCCTGACCCTCTCCTCACTGGGCTTTGGAGATTATCAAGTCCACCAGGTTCCAAATCCCCCAGCTAAGTCTCCTCTACATAGGGCGGCCTGAGGAGCTGCCATCCCTCTTCAACCTGAGCTCCTTTGCTTTTATCTTTGTATTTACTTACATTTCCTTGTAAGAGTTTGATGAACCATTGATCCAGCCAGGAACTGAGGCCCTGTGAGTTCCATAACAAGCCCCACCCAAGTCCCCATTATGAATGGGTGAAGAAAGAGCATGGAGGGAGCCTTTCTGTAACCACGCAGCCAAGACAGGCTAATGGAGAAGGCCCAGACACATCATGGTCCCCATAAGGAGAGGGAACCAGGAGAGGAGGTGGGGAGCAGGGTTCCATTAGCAGCAGCAGGTTAGGATGGGGAGGGTGAACCCAACAGCACTTCTCCCCAGGCATTAGGAGGCTTCCTGCATCTCCAACTCTGAGGAGGCATTTGGCTCTCTCAAGCCTTCTCATCTTCCCTCTCTGACTGCTCTCATCTCCCCTGAGGAAGCCCGCTCTGAGGATCTGTGCTGGAGCTGGAGCCCCTGCCCTGGCTCAGGCCTTGTTGCTCAGCTGGGATAGGATACCTCCAAGCCCTCCTTCACAGGCTACGGTGGTGACTCTGTTACCCCTCCTAGCCTTGCCTGCCTTACACCCTCTGGTGTCCCCACCACCCTCATGATAAAGCCTGGCTCTGCAGCCTGCCAGGCCAGGGGCTTCCTCCCCCTACCTCACCTCCTGCCTCTGCTCCAGCCATGCTGCTGCACTGGGCCATCTCTTGTCTCCTGCCTGGCACTTGCTGCTCCCTCTTCCTGCAATGCCCCTTGATGCTTCTCCACCCTTGGCCCTTTCTCCTGACTCCCCACCATCACTCCTCATAAGTCCCAGCCCAGGTGCCACACCAGGTCCCTCTGTCACACCACTTATCACAATCTGATTACTGTCGATATCTATCTCCCCCTTTTATGGGGATCTATTTGAGGGCAGGACTAGAGTTCATCTTGTTCACAGTTAAATGTCCAGCACCTAGCACTGTCCCTGTCACCTGGACAGCCTCCAGGAATATTTGTTATGTGAGTGAATAAGAACTCTACCAATCACATTCTTGTGTTAGTCATTGTCTGAAAATATCTCATTTAATCTTCACCAGCACCCAAGAGGTAGATCATTATCACTTTACATAAAGAGAAATTACAGTTCAGAAATCAGAAGTGAATGTCTAAATCATATAGTGAGTCTGCAGTAGGTCCCCTGGCCCTGAAACTGCAAGGCAGGGAGGAAGGCTGTGTGGCATTCCCAGAGTGATGGCTGAGCCATGGTGCTGGCACCCGCACTGTGACTCCGGTTACGCAGGGCTGGACTGGCTCCAGAAGGCTTGTCTTGCTTGCTCTCTGGACTGCTGCATCAGCCTGGACCATCCCCTGCCTCCCTCACCAGCCGGGAACTGTGCTCCTCAGATTTCCCCGGCAGAGGCCAGGCCTCCGATGTCAAATGCAGCCTGGAAGCTCTGGCTGTTGATGTGCCAGGATGCAAGCACCCAGGGGAGGCAGCCCAGGAGGCAGGAAGCCTGGTCCAGGCCAAAGCAAGCCTCTGTTCTACCTCTCTGCCAGCAGGATAGGCTACATAATTTGAGGGATCCATGGCAAAATGAAAAATGCATGCCCCTTGTTCCAAAACTAGTAAGACTCTCAAAATGGTATAGCAGAGCATTAAATCAAGTATGGGGACCTTCGAAGCATGAGTCGCACACCTATGAAGCCAGCCCTATCCCCGGGCCTTGGTTTCTTCATCTGTCTAAGGGGTGGATGATGGCCACCTGGTCAGGCAGTGGTGAGGATGAGGTGGGAGATATAAGTAGGAGGTTCAGTGAACAGCATGAGGTTGGGTAGGGGTCTGTGTGGACACCATGTGTTGTTCACCTCTCAGCACTAGGTAGCAGACTAATTCTCATCAGGAGTTCGATTCCTTACACAGCTCCTTTTCATGAGCTAAAAACTAAGGTTCAGGCAAAATGACTTGGTCAGGTTCACACACAGATTCAGTACAGGAAGCCAAGATCAGATTCCTGGCCAGCCTCTCTGCAAAACGGGTGCTTTCTGTAACACAGGAGAGGGGTGGTTGGGAAGAGGGAGGGAGGGTGCTGCTCAGGACAAAGAGGGCCACTGTGCAGACACAAAGACCTGACCACAGAGGCCCCTGCGGGGGCTGGGCCCAATGAGTGGATAGAAAAGCCCTATGGTGACTGGGGAGCTGCCGGGAGCTGCCTCCCAGCCTCTCCCTGGCCCTGCATGGGGGAGGTAGCATGCAGAAAGGAAGAAACAGGTCCAGGAGGAGAAAACAGACTCAGCCAGAAGTTTACCCAGCCCCAGGCCCAGGCCCCCAGAGCTAACCACCCTGGCTCTCCCCAGCTTCTCCTGGGCAGCCTGCCAGCTTCAGGAATTCCCCACCCCCCACCCCACATACCACCCACCACCTCGCTTCCCGGGGCATCACTGAGAGTAGGGCTTAGGTAGCTGACCATCCAACATTTCCAAGCTCAAATCCTGCTCAGAAACTTTTGGCTACTGTCTATCACCCACAGAGGAAGGAAGCATAAGCCCTGCCCTGTGATCTGCCCCGTTTACCAATCCACACTCCCCTGTCCCCATGCTCTATCAACCTTCCTCAGCCTAGTCATATGGGACATGCCACAGTTCTCCAAACCACTCAGTCCTTTCACACACCCCTGCGTTTGCGCGTGCTCTTCCTTCTTCCTGCAGAGCTCGATCCCCATGCTCACTGCTGGCTGAAATCCTTTCTCCTTCACTGGCCAGTTCAGGGTCCCTGTACCAGGCAGCTTTCCCCAACCCCCTATAGTTGGATTTAACCGCCAGTCTGCCCCCAAGGTTGGATTCACCCATTCTCTTGCAGAGCTTATCCCAGTCTGGCTTGAGCTGTAATTTGGATCTTCAAAGCCTGCCTGGAGGAGAAGACATTTGAGCTGGGCCTTAAAGGGCAGGTGGACTTGACTGGTGGACAGCAATGGTAAGCAATGGATAAGAGCTCTCAGAACCCGTGTTTGCTCAAACATTTTATATAAATATAAATATTTATATTCATTTTATATAAATCAATCCGAACCACTTTTTTGGTTCGGATAGCAAGGGGTCCATAGTTCAGAATGTGCTTGGTTGCTCAGTTGTGTCCGACTCTTTGCGACCTCATAGATTATAGCCCACCATGTTCCTCTGTCCATGGGGATTTTCTAGGCAAGAACGCTGGAGTGGGTTGCCATTTCCTTCTCCAATAGTTCAGAATGGCAGGAGATGAATGTGGGGTCCCATATCAAAGGGTTAGATAAATTGCAACCATCAAGTCATGACAGGTTTTATACGACATACTACAGACTGTTTGCTCATTTAAAATGCACCTGAATGCATTTCTCAGTACTATGGTTTACAAACTAATTCTGCTTTTATCTTTATTGTTTTCTTCCCTTTAACTACCTTGGGATAGCATTTCTGTTCATTTTCTACAAGCTTATTCAAGTGAATGCCTGTTTTGTTTATTATCATTCTTTTTAAATAACAGAAACATATAAAGCTATGTTTTCCCACTGAACTGGGAAAATGCAGTTTTGCTGTACTTTGTACATTTTGATATGTAAATTTGCCTTTATCATTGTTTTAAAATAGTTGGTAATTGAATTTTTAATTTTCTCTTTGACCCAATAAGAGTCTTTTTAGGAGAATATTTAGACTTAGGAGTTGTTTCTTTTAGTTATTTATTTTTGGCTGTTCTGGGTCTTCATTGCTACAGGGACTTTTCTCTAGTTTCAGTGAGCGAGGGCTACTCTCTAGTTGCTGTGCTTGGGCTTCTCATTGCAGTGACTTCTATTGTTGAGGCGCAGTGGCTCTAGGGCTCTTGGGCTTCAATAGTTAAGGCACTTGGGCTTCAATAGTTGTGGTTCCTGGGCCCTAGAGCACAGGCTCACTAGTTGTGGCCCATAGACTTAGTTGCTCCATGGTATGTGGGATCTTCCCAGGTCAGGGATCGAAGCCATGTCTCCTGCGTTGGCAGACAGATTCTTTACCAACTGAACCACCAGGGAAGTCCATATGTCACTTTTCATAGGATCCATGTTTTGAGATGTTATTAGTCGTATTATACACATACATACACACATATTTTAAAATAATGTATATCTGTATTTATTTTTAGCCTATGTAATGTTTGTAACAGGCTTCCCAGGTGGCTCCGGTAGGAAAGAATCAAACACAGGAGCCTAGTGGGTTATAGCCTATGGGGTTGCAAAGAATCAGACAGTTGCTTGCTCAGAAGCAACTAAGCAAACATGAACTTAAGTATGAAACCATCTTTTCCTAACAAATGAGCCATTTAAGATCTATTTGCATTTCTGATTCTATTACAGACTGCTCATGTTATATCCCAATACTTTATTTATATTAACCTTTCCTTCTATTTGTGCTTCATCTATTTTGATGCTGATTCAATATGTAAAAGTCTTCCTCATTTTGGATTGTATTTTTTTTTAATGAAAAAAAGTGTTGACTTAAAAAATACACAGTGTGAGAGTTGTGAGTTAAGTTTTATTTGGGGCAAAGTGAGGACTGCGGTCCTGGGGATAGCACTTCAGACAGCTCTGAGAAACTCCTAAGAGGCTCCAAAGAGGCAGGGAGGAATGTCTGGACATCTGTGATTTTGGTGAAAAGGGAATACATGCAGTCAAGCACATATGTTTCCAGAAGCTTTATGCTAGTCTCGTGAAGCTTTACGCTAGTCACAAGGAACAGGTGTCACCATGAAGGATTTAAGTGCTTATCTAGATATTAAGGTGGTGCTAGTGGTTAAGAACCTGTCTGCCAATGCAGGAGACACAGGAGACACAGGTTCTATTCCTGGGGCATGGCAACCCACTCCAGTAATCTTACCTGGAGAATCCCATGGACAGAGGAGCCTGGCAGGCTACAGTCCATAAGGTCGCAGAGTCAGACATGACCGAAGCGATTTAGCACGCACACACAGATATGAAGAGCTATGAGAATTGGGCTCATAAAATCAGCTCCTGAAAATATCTATCTGAAGACCTGTCCTGCCAGTTTTTCGCAGAGAACAGAATGTCTTATTTCTACTCACCACCCTGAATGCCTTTCAGGGGGGGTGTGAAAATCAGCAGCTGCAGCAGTAAGTGGTTTAATCCTTGTAGAGTTAAGTGGCAAGTGCCCAAGGCAAGTGAAAATTGGTAGTTGACAAAAGTATCCCCCTTTTAGCCCATGTAATACTTTTAGCCTCACTTTTTATTAGTTTTTATATCACTATTACTATTCCCTACTTTGCATTTATCTAACATAGCTTTGTCTGTGGTTTTTAATGTAAATTTTCTTTGTTGTTTAACTTTCTACTTCAAATTTTGAATGAGTAATGTATTTACATGTTTAGACAATTAATAATACAAGAAAAAAAGATATTCAGAGAAAAATCTCCCTCCATTCTCCATTATTTATCTATCCAGATCCCACTCCTCCCTTCACCCCTAAGCCAGAAAGTGGTTTTATTATTTTTGTGTGTATCCTTGAGTTTCACGGCAAATACAAATATTTCTGCTTATTTTCCTTTTTTAAAAAAACACAAACAAAACATATATACGCATAATCTTGCATGTCAGCACTCAGTTGTAGCTTGGGGATTTTTCTTAATTAGCACATTGCCAGTTTCCTCATTCTTTCTAGGGGCTACAGAATAGCCCATTATATCAAGGTACCAGAATGTACTTAT